CAGCTGCCTCCTGCACACTCCCCACTGGGGATGTGCCTGCAACCAAGGTACATGCCCTTGACCAGAATCGAACCCGAGACCCTTGAGTCCGCAGGCCGACGCTCTATCCACTGAGCCAAACCGGTCAGGGCACAAAAGCTCTTTTTACAAAACACTGTGAACTACCTGTATTATCATCAATGGGCAATTATTTATCCAAAGACTCTTTTCAGACAAGTTATAGTCCCAAAAATGAATACAGCACTACAAACAAGAGTAAGGAGAACCACAAAGTATAAGAGAATAAAAGGTTAAAGCATTACAAAATATGTTAATAGGAAGAGAATGAACTAAAGAGATTCTGACCACATGCACACAAAACAAATGTTTTAAGAGAGTATGATTTTGTATCACTGAACAAGGGAATTTCTCTTTCTACATGTCAGCTTCTTCTCTCAGGAGTAAAAGCATAAACTAAAACAAAGTATAAAGACCAAAGGAACAAAATATAGAAATCTATATTATTTCCATTAGGGCAGTGTGAAGCATTATGTTTCAAAGATCAGAAATATTCAACATTCTGGTCAAAAAATTAAAATCCAATAAAGTTCAGTAATATATTGAGTCCTTGCTTAATTTTGTAATTGGTATAATTGTATTTAACGTCCCCCCGCCCCTTGCAAGTTCTCTTTTGAAAACTTAAGTCACTAAGAGATTAAAAAAAAAAAATTCCCCATCTTAGAACTATAAACGCTGTGTTAAGTAGTAGGAGTCATCTGTAATAAATGACCAGAAAAGAGAGCGGAAGGGCTAAGGTTGGTCCATGGAAGGGCACTGGAAGAAAACTTCAAGGAACCAAGAGAAGGAACAAAGGATCTTTAAGGTAAAATTATGAAACCCATTGATACCCCTACCCTGTCTACCTCACGAAGGTCATGCTATAGAGGGTCCCCTAAAATAATAGATGTAAAAGGCTTCCACAGAACACAGATAACACAGTATAAAATGGGCTGCACAGAATGGATATTAAGTATACAATATATCCAGTAAAACCAAAGTTTGGGATTTCCTTTTCTGAAAAATATTCTTAGATAATTGTTACACTGGAATTTACCCAGGCAGATGCCTTGGAAGATTTATCTTTTCTCTTTCCATTAAATGAATGTTTTGTTAGCAACAATAATGGTTTTTAAAAATCAGCTTCCACATATTAAGAGGGCAGTTTATATGTGCCAGGTTGTATGCTGAATATTTTATACTAGAGGTTCTCCAAGTGTAGTCTGGGGACCCCGGGACCCCCAAGACCTTTTCCAGGGATTGGCAGTTAAAATTATTTTCATAACAACTCTAAGACATTAGTTGCCTTTTTTCACTCTCATTCTCTCTTGAGTGTACAGCAGAGTTTTCCAGAAGCTACCATGACATGTGATAACACATCAGACTGAACATAGAAGCACATAAGAGGATCCAGTTGTCTTCTATTAAACAAAACATTAAAGAGACACACAAAAATAAAACAATGCCACTCTTTTTCCTCTTCTTCTGTTTTAGAATTTGTTTAAAATGTCTCCGCTTTAATATCTAATCCGGTAAATACTAATAGATAAAACTTGGACAGAAAAAGCTCTTTGGAGTCCTCAACTTTTAAGTGTAAAGGGGTCTGAAGACCAATAAATCTGAGAACACCTGATTCATAGTCAATCAACTTCTGAGGCACTGGTTCTGTTCAATCATCATTCCCTTTACACAAATGAGGACACAAATGAGAAAAAGACACAGAGGTGACTTGCTCACGATCACACCAAACATCTCTTAAATCAGCATTTGAATACAAGTCCTAACCTTAACTCCTCACCACTGAGCAATTCAAGATAGTTCAAGATCACTTTTAGATAGCCACATGTTAATCCTTGTTTAAAAGGCAATGGTCTATACTGGGTCTTTACTCTTTGACTTTCAGTCTTAAAACATCATGACTGCTCATTGGAGTGCTTTAAATATATAGAATTAACTTTTTTAAAAAATCAAACACTGCAAAAAATAACCCCCATCACCACCAGCACCTTCGGCACCCTATGAGAAAACTATTGATAAGAGTTTTACTTATATACATACACGCATAAATATGTTTATCTCGTTAAGCACATTTTTAAATGGATCACACTGATTTAGTAACTAGCCTTATTTCACTTAATTTATCTTGAAGATCTTCCTACACCTACAAAGAGATTTACCTCTTTTTGTATAGATTACCATCATTTATTCCTACTCAGTTGAGGTCCCCCTTATGGCTTACTATTAAAAAAGTCACAAGAAAAATGATGTGCCTTTGTGTAGCTGTGAAGCCATATCTGTTTAAAAAAAAAAATTCCTAGAAGTAAAATTCTGGGTCAACGGGTATAAATGTTTACAATCTTATTAGATTTTGCCAAATGCCCTCCAACATGTCTGTGCCCAATTTACATTCTCACTAATACCACATGAGAGTTCCTCCAGCAACTGAGTTTTCGGGTGCCTTAGAAAATTACACTTACGTTGCTTCAAAATGCCAAGTAATAAAACTGTTTTCACTGGTCATCTTAATTCCATACAGAACTCTACACAAATCTTATAACACTCACTGAGTCTATCAGTATAGTTTTCCATCTTTATTTTTCCTTACACCTTTTAAATACCTCAAAAGAGAAAATACACCAGGTGCATACAATATCTGCAACTAGTAAACCCTAGAATTTTAGATACCCTGATAAAAAGTTATTCAAATTATTTCAGAACACAAATCAGAACGACGCAGTAAAGCTGGGTCAAACACTTAAATCAAAGGAAAGTTATAAATGTGGATTTATTATGCTTTATCTGCCCACTCAAAGGACTAAGGCTACAAATAAAAAGCTATCAATTCATACCACTGGCCAAATTAGCTTACATAAAATAATAAGCAACAGATTTCATATCATAAATGTCAGTGGAACAGATTGTAATAGTAAGGATGGCTGTAATTGAAAAGAAAGTTCATTCAAATTCACATCATACTGAAAATGAAAACATTAATATTTTAAATGAAATGTTTTGAATGTGACTATTCATTGTAGTCATATCAGACTATTATAAATCTTTGGTACTAACAAGATATGGTCTTTTTATCAAGTAGATGGTTTTAAAATGCATTATACTCTGACCTGCCTATTCCGGATACTCTAGGTTTCATCATTTCATCAAAATCAATCTCTCTCTCTCTCTCTCTCTCGACTTTGTGTTAATAGTTTTAAAATTGAAAGTCTCCAATACAACTTTGGGACAGAGTAAAACCTCATTAAATCAAGTCCAATTAGCTCAATTCTGAAATGGCACATGTAATTCTCATTGGGCAACAAGTTGATGGTACTATAATTTCTTCCTCTACAAGTTCTCATAATATTACTGTGAAACAAAGGAAATCAACCTGAAAATTAATTCACTTTTTCAAACCAAAGATTTATAAAACTAAGGACTCCTCCATCTTCGTGGCTAAGGGGTTCATCCTCAGTGCTAAGGTCCACTTCTGTTTATCTGCTACCATATATAGTGAAAGTGACGTAACTTATTAATAGCCATTCAGAGTTTAGAATATGTGCATTCCCTTGAAGTATTTTGTGACTCAGATTTTTCACAAAGCCATTTTTGTAGTTTCTCCCATTTTCGATCCTAACACTTATAGGTCTATAATATCGCAAATGTAACACCGTAAGAGGTACACAAGTCGACTTAGAAATGCCTGGCATTCTTATTCTGTGCCTATTCTTATCAGTTTGAAAGACATTATAGGCCAAAAAATGAGTCCCAGGATTAAGTGGTGTGTTTGGTGTTAAATGAATTTACAACTATTCCCAATGAACAGGGAAACCTTCCCTTGCAATCTGAATCATGTGTAATTACAGTATGACAAGGTCTCTCCTGGGCTATGTAAGCTGGCATTTTTCCCAGGACTTGTCACATCATGGGAAGCACACATACAAATAAAAATCCAAAAATAAACATTTTAAAACAATGGCTTATAGACTACGTAAAGAAACTCCACAGTTGAGAATGAAAATCGAAGGGGCCAACGGACAAGCTGACATCTCACCAGAGACATCTAGGAAGACATGGTATTACCAAGTGGCTTACCACCCCTAGCAACAACTCCCAGGTGTGGGCTGTGTGGGCAGCACTCTCACATGCCCCCAGGCTGGACAGAAAACCATTAGGTATGGGGAATAAAGGGGCACATCACCACACACACCCACTGAAGCAGAGAATGGTGGTGAAATATGGGGAGGTTGAGCATCTTTAATTGCATAATGCCAATTTGTAGATTGTTAAGGGCACCTAAACAAAGTTATCTTAAGAGCTACACGTCCTCTACCAACTGACTTAGTTTCCCTGATTCAATAAACATGGTTGGTTTTTTTGTTAAGTATTATTTCACCTCGAAGTGAATAGCAGCCAAACAGTCATAATAGTGTGTACCAGGGATCTTAGAAGATGGTTTCTTTTGTTTAAATTCCTCTGCAGTGGCTCTATGGGCACATGGAAAGGGAGAGGGAGATTCCAAGAGGCATCATACTCAATCTCTTAGAGTGACAGAAACTTGACAATACTCATCCTTACCACAGTTTTGAGGAAATGTGAATATAATATCCCTGGCTCTATTTTGATAGAAAATGCTAGCAAAATCTAAATATCTTTCCCTATAGGCCATGCATATTCCTCCCCATCTATTAGAAGCTGGATTCATTTATCAACCATCCAGCAGAGCCCATCAAATTCCACTATTCAAGTTTTCAAAAGGAACTATAAAACAGACCACTAAAGGCAAAACATACATCCTACATCGCAGTACATGAGCTCTGGAAACAAAAGTAAGCATTAACACAAGCCTCTACCACCTCTAAGGCACACAGCATTTCTCTTTATTCCACCCCTGAATGTTCAATAATTTCCACGTAGCTCTAAGCAGAATGGATTTATTATGATGTGACCCTAAGAAGCTGCAGGAGTTCTAGATGCCAATAAAGATTACGGATCAAATGGAGGATAACTACTAACCATTGTGTCCACTTAGATAAATAAACCTGCTCACAAACAAAGCACCTTATTGTATTTACATTGTTGCCTCCACTAATCCAACTAAAACAACCAGACAGTAGCTTTCCAGAGGCTGTGGGGAATAGAAATCAGGATTTCTCAAACTCTCTCTCAATTTCTTTTAAAAGAACACCCGGTTTCTTTTCTTCAAGACTGTCTTATCCTTTCTGGAAAATGTTTGGGAACCCATGGCTCAGCAGGATTACGCAAACTAGAGACCAAGGCTAAAAACCAAGGTGGGGAGGGACTGAAACACCGGACAAAACATCGTTCCTCTGAAAACTTAGACTAAACCTTTGCAGGGACCCGCTTCCCTTGCAGGTCACACCGGGCAGACATTTCATTTCGGAAGGTTGTTCAAAATCAAATGAGCAGTTAAGTGCCATTGGGGACTGTGGATGAGTAAACCCCCCAACTAAACATAAAATCTTGACCGTGTAGGCTGGGGGTGGCTAATCCACAAAAGGAAAAGTCTGTGACAACTGGCTACTCAATGCCTCCTATACAGGGAGGAAGGCAGAGAAGACCCCAAAGAGAGGCGACTTCTCCAGAAGGAACAATAAACTACGTCCCATACATTCTCTGCCAATAACACAGGTAAGCCACCCATTTCTTAGGGGGGGCGGGGGGAGGAGCTCAAGCTGTTTATTCCCTCCAGCCCCACTCCCCACACCCAACAACTAATTGCACCTTTCCCACAGAACCCGCGGCTAACCCCAGAGGACCGGTGAGGGCTGGCTTGGGATGAATAAACACTCGACACCTGACGGTGCTTTCTCTTCGGTGACTTTCTCGCAGCCGAAGCCGCCTGCACAGGCGGGAGCCCGGACCTCGCCAGCGCGGCGCCGCGCACCCGGGTCCCAAGGCTCCGCGGGGCGAGCGCGACTCGGGGGGGCGGGGGAGAGAGGCAGGGAGAGGGGCAGGGAGAGGGGCAGGGGACCGCCGGGCCGAGCGATTGTTCCCTCCGCCGGCAAAGACATTTTTTATCGAGCTCCTTTTGTACTCGAGCCCTACCTCTTTTTGGCCTAGGGAAGCTTTCGTGCAAGTGGAAGACGACTTTCTCCACAAAGTGCTGGATGTTACTGTGCTCCGGGCCGCGCACGAACACCATCCAGTCGTGGGTGAAGCCCTCCACGGTGGGTTTTTTCCTCACCTGGGCGCGGTGCCCCAGCTCGAGCTTCACCTGCACGGCACACTGCGGGCAGCGGGAGGAGAGACAGCCGTGAACGACAGGAAGGCGACCCGTTCGACCCTGCACATTGCGCCTGACATTTTTTTTCCCCCTTCCCTCCTGGAAACGCACATAAAAGGCAACGGCGGTGCCCTCTGCATCCACGTTTCACGCGCGTGGGCGCGCACACTCCACACCCCCAAAGACACCCCACGGGCCGGCCCGGCCCCCGGCGCCCCGGGCCCAGCATCGACACCGGCCTGCATTGTAACGGAATGTTACCCCCATTAGGAAGGGGGTCCGGGGTCTGGGGGAAGAGGGAAAAGCACACTCAGCCACGACCAGCACGACAACAAATGCATCGGAAACAAATTAGAAGACGATTCGGAGACGATGCCGGGGCGGTTTCCCGGCGTGGGAGGGGAGGTAGCCGGGACTCGGAAGGGGATTCGGGCGAGCCCCCTCCCTGAAAGTACCGGGGCGACAGGCACACGCCGAGGAAGTCTTTGTGTACGTGTGTGTGTGCGTGCGTGTGGAGCGCTGTGCCAGGCTGAATGGAAACTACAGGCAGCCTCCGCCGATGGGCACAAACTCCCGTGCTCCTATCCTGGGGTTCGTGCACAACAAAAATGAGACCTGGTCACACACACACACGCACGCCTGCCCGCAGGAACACGCCGAGGCATCCATAACTTAAGGCACCCCGCACCCTCCAGCGCAGAGCCCCACGCGATCGGCGAGGCCATCCTAACGGAGCCCCCGCAACACACTTCCAAGAGCCAAAGTGGCCCCAAAGTACCTCCCACCTCCCCCCCAAAAAAATGAAATTCAGAAAGCTGGTCACACACACACACGCACGCCTGCCCGCAGGAACACGCCGAGGCATCCATAACTTAAGGCACCCCGCACCCTCCAGCGCAGAGCCCCACGCGATCGGCGAGGCCATCCTAACGGAGCCCCCGCAACACACTTCCAAGAGCCAAAGTGGCCCCAAAGTACCTCCCACCTCCCCCCCAAAAAAATGAAATTCAGAAAGGCAGGGCGGCGGGCGGACAGCCACGGAGCCTGGGCTGGGCGCAGC